AACCCTTCTAAAGAATTTAATGCCGAAACTCGCTCTTTCTGAAAACATCTTTGGATGAGAAGTTTCAGCGTCGGTCGATGCTTCATAGTACATTTCAAGATCACTTTTGAGTACTTTTCGGAAAAGAAATTAAATATTTAAAAAACAAATGCTGATCTTCTTCGAGATTACCTTGTTTTTATAGAAGAGAATTAAGAATGCAGTTGTGCAATGAAAGAAACCAGCGTCAGAAGGTAGTTCGAACTCACTGCGGGAGTTTGCGGTTTATAACCACAGTTATTTTGAAGTTTTAAAAGTATTGCAGAAAAAAATTCTACTTTTTTCTCTCTCAAATTACAGTAAAGGGGAGGGAGGAGGGAATTTTCCTTATCTTTTCTTTTCGGAAAGAATGGAAAATTACGGAAATTCCCACATCTGGGTGATTAATTGTTGACAAATGCTCGGACACCTCGGACGTAACCGCGAATCACGCGTGAGATTCTCACGTGTTTCGGGTTCTTTTATGTTCCGAGGTGGAAAAAAAAAGGTATGAAAAATGACAGGACATTGTAATAAGCCTACTTTTACAACGTGGTAATGCCTAAAATTTTTTTAGAGAAGACATTTTCGAGAAGGACGTTTCAGCATCATCAGCATCAAGCAAGAGGATTATAATTTACTCCCCGAGTATTTTCAGAGGAATGTTCTCTTCGTCATTATTTTGCTTCTGCATCTATTCCCAAAAGAATTTTATTTCAAATTTCGTGGAAATTTTGAATTTAAAGTATTCAACCCCAGCAAAATTTCAGAAGTTTCAAGCGAAGAATCCCCAAGCGGGAAGAAGTTATAATAAGGTCACCTTTAGCCAAAATTATTCCAGGTACAAAACTGCACAAAATAAAATCCTGATGCATAGTAATTGTAAGGTACAAATACCACCAGGAACAAGAACTCTCTGCCCAACTTCTATCAGGGACCCCTAGAGGTCGCCCAAAGACACAAAACATGCCACACGCCAGGAACACAAATATCGAACAGAACACACCAACTCAAAACTTACTGACCATGAAAAACCTGCCTGCCAAAAACTGGATTCTGCTCAACCTAAAAAATCAAACAACATGGAAGACTTCACTTTGTCCCAAAACTTCGCTGCGAATACTTCTCCTGTATTATTCTGAATTTCAGAACTCTGAAAAGTGAAAAACATTCTTTTACAACCTGTGCAAATAACATCAGTTCCTGGAGACGTGTAAAAAGTGTTGTTCTTGTTTCAATCAGCAGACATTTTTTTCCTTTTTTCGTGAAATTCTGATCAATATTTATTCCTTGAAACCACACTCAAAAATGGAATAGCATAAGTACAAGGGAAAACAATACTCAACCTTGGGACAGTTTGACATTGGGACACTGCTGATGCCCTGATAACATCTGTCTATCTTTTGGTTTCACTGTAATTCCTTATCCAACTTTTTTTTTTTTAGTAAGCATGAAGGCAGTGATCATTGAAGAAACTCTTGAAGGACAAAATTCCCAGAAAATCTTGGGATTCAGCTCAAGTCATTGAACGGATTTGATTGACTTTCTTGGGAATCTCGTGACAAGATTCAAACTCCGTTCTCTTTGTTTTATTTTTTCCTATACGTAAATTGCAGCTTCATCCCAGTTTCCACGGAAATTGTTTTGTCATGAAAGAGTGTTCTTTGTACCCAAAAAAAAACCAGAAGGTGGGAAACAATTTGATCGTTTCTCATCCCGCAAGAGCAACACGTTTTTATTGCTCGCGTGTTCGATCTCCCGTTGAAAAGTTCGGTTCCCGTGGGATTAACGGGACTCGAATGCATCACAAATCCTTCATTTTCTAAAAAGAAAAAGAAGAAACAGAGGAAAAAAGGCTGATTCTTTGGCAGAATTTCCGTGATCCCAAAAAGAAAAGAGAAAAGGCAGTAAAAAAAAAACGTCGGGGAAAATTCGGAATATTTACAATGGCTTTCCTGCATTTTAAGAACGGGTATCAGAATTTTTTTCCGCGTCGTTTAAACTCCTTCTTGATTCGTCTAGAAAGAATTTTTAATGATCTATTCAATTCAGTATCAAGCCGTGAAATCGAGAATTAAAGCCATTCAGGATTGATAAAAACGCTTTGATTTTCAGATTACAGGTTTATTTTTGGATCGCGATCATTTTTTCCGGTCATTTATTTTCTCACGCTTCGTGGAATCGATTCAGGTTAATGATTTCAACCCTTTTCGAGGCATTAAATTTTTCGAGAAATTGGATATGAAACACTAGCTGATCGTTCGTATTAATCACGGTTGGTTTGAAGCCAGTGAACCGATGCACGACTTCTCCATTTATTCCGTCAATTTTAACTACAGGAATAAATTGTGAGAAAATTCCTAGCGTATTTTGACCAAATGAAGCCCTAGATTTTACACACACAAAAAATACATGATGAGTGGTTACAATTACAAAAACAGCAAACTCATCAATTATATGCTGGAACCTCATTCATTCACGTGGCAATGACAACACTATTTTTCATGTTACAAATGTTTGTTGTTGATTTGATGGATCTTTTTTAAGTATTTGAAATATATGGGTCAAATTTCAAGTATATTGGCATGCATATAGCATGTATATATCCAGCAAATGGTATATTTCAACCTGTCTGAACCTGCAAACGTGTGTCCCACTGTGCCACATTTCTACATGATAGAAATTATCCAATTTTTGTTCAGAACTTATCAAATATGTAAAAATGGTTCCTCCTGGTTTTTCTAAATGCAGACAACTTTGCAAAAGCCCTTGCTCAGTGGGTTACTTTTAGCAAAGTGGTTTTATACACATCAGTGCTTTCTACTATTTCTGATCTGTGCTACAATTTAAAAGTTCCAGGGGCAACTCTGGGGATAATTTTTGGTCATCAGCCTGCTGTCATGCATCCAGATCTTTCTCATGCAAACTATTTCTGCTAGATACTGCAGAAAAATGCCATTGCAAGTTCACTCCCAGGAAAAGAATACTATACTTTGGCAATAACAGAAGAGCAGCTTCTTCCCTAATATTCAAAAATTAAATTGCAATGAGCAATTTTGCCTATGCATCATAGTTGTGTGCAGACTTCCATGATTAACTAGATTGCACTCCCAAGTCCCAACCCATCTGTGGGGCACAAAGGGCACGTCCCATGAAACAAGTAAAATGCGCGCAATTATTATAACTTAAAAAACCTGAACCACTGGAATGCGGCAGTGGGAAGTTCCTTGGAAGCTCCTGCTGCCACAAATTGCGCAATTGTAAATCTTGTCTCTTTTTTGTGATGAATGAATTTGCATTATGTTTGAAACTTTCAAAGCATTCAGTTGATCTCAAGAACTTTTGTCTGTGTGCATTTTGTCCATTTTTGAAGTTCCCATTTCATTCAACTGTTGGAATTTATTTGAAACTTTACCTACATTCTTGATCATTTTAAATACAATTCTCTTACTCTTTGGAGTACGTCCTTACCAAAGGGCTCCCTGCCGTGTTCCCCAGCGGATTGTGCATTTTTACTCATTTATTTTATTCTCCTATTTATTCAAATTCTTTGTGTGCTCCTTGCCCTACACCATAAAAAGTAAACTAAAGAGGCAATGCAACCACACACAAACATGCAAAGAAATCTCAGACATAATTTTTGTTTGCTTCTCTATATATACATGGCAACAAACATGATTGAATAATATATCATTCTCAGCATTTAATTTTCATTCTGAGAAACCTTTCAAGTCCACATTTCAAAATTTTGATGACATTCTGCTACAAATGATTCTCAAGTCAATTCAGGCAAAAAGCACTAACTTTCCAAGTACTTTTCATTCAGTCTTTTGAACAAAGCATATTGAGTCAGCAAACAGTTTTCAAAACTTCGGCATTCAGCAGAAATGTTTTTTTATAAAATTCGCTGGTTATCTGTAAACATTTTCATTGAAATTTGCCAGTCCATGGGCCAGAAACCCTTCCAGTCCACAGATAACAGTTGGGAGATTTGCCATTTTGCTAGACCCATAAGGTTGGTGAACACTCCCCTAATCCATCAGAAGCAGGACCTTTTGTTATGTGCCAAGCCATCAGCGCCCAGCACATGCTTTATCAGTACTGTGCATTACTTGCAACCTAAATACACATTGTGTAGGTTATAGTTCAAAGACAGACGCGTAAATCATAAATATAGAGCATATATTCACAACTGGAAGCATTTGCAATCAACATCCCATGCAGGAGGACTGCTGCATATTTTTCCCCCTCAGGCACTGAGACCTCATTATATGCCAGAAACAAAAAGCATCCCCAGGGGCCAACTGCAATGTTTCATCCCTCCCCTCAAAAGGTCACAAAGGGAGAAAAATATGCGTCAAGCCAGTGATGTGATGTGAGGGGGGGGAGGGAAGCAAAAATGAGAAGAATGCTTTGGAGGTCGTTGGCATTTTGAGCACTTGCTTACAAGCACACCAGCAGGTGCATGAGCATGGAGAAATACCGCCTGAGGGCATTCCTTTTATTTTCTTTCTCACTCTCTGCTGTGATCATCTGCCAGATGATCAATATAGACCATTATATATATATGTAGTGGATCTCATATTTAGTGACATCCGACTTCTCGGGACATTAAACCAAGTTTCATTTGCTGGTCACTGGACTCAAGCAGCTGCTGCTGACAAAGCTTCCAGCAATTTCAAGTGAAATATGCGCCCTAAAACAAACATTCGCGTGTCCATTTCATTCCATGCTTTTCAGCAACAAGACAAAGCAGAACTTATTTCATCCCCCAGTTGGAAAATAGAAAATTGAAGACTCTGAGGGAATATCCCAGGAAAATGATCCTCAGATGCCATTTGGAATGAAAATGGTCTCCATAAATGGAACAATTTCAAAGTAAAATGCCCAGATCAAGTGATTACGGTCTTGACGAATCTTCTTTAAGAAAAGTTTGGGAGGATTTTTTTTCCAGGAACCTGATGAACAGAAGCATTTCAAGTCTAAACGGTGGACGAAATTTCATCATCGGATTTCGCCAAACTTGACACGGGCTAAAAAAAAAAATCACGAGCAGTGAAAAGCTGACATGATGTGCTGTTCTGTGATTTCCGTGATCTCAACATTATTCCTCATTTTTTGCGGAATTTATTTCAAAACGGAAATTCTCAAAACATTCAAGCAGAGTCGATTCACACTACGGAGGATGTCATTAAAAACGAATCAAGGAATGGATCAGTGGTTCTCAAGTGCTGAAGTGAAACGGGTCACCACTGATACTTCAGTTGCTTGTCGACATTACGTGATTCCTGCTTTCAAATGGAAAAATAATTTGATGGAAGGGTCCAGTTTCGATGTTGACATGAAGTGCCCTGAGAAAGAGCAATGGGTTGTTTTGAAAAAGGACCAGGCAATTATTTTGTGTGGACGATCAACACATCATTGCAGCAATCATGCTTATTGCAATTTTTCAGGTATTCAATCCTAAGAGATGATGAAAATGCAACTTATAAACAATGAGAAACGCCTCCACATTAAAAAAAATTTCTCAGTTGAATCAATCATCCTTTCATACCAATACAGTATATGCAGGCGTAATTTGATGTAAATGCTGTGTGCAGTAATTTATTTTTGAAAATCTGTTTATAACAACTATTTCAGTGCAAAAAAATGCTTTCTCAAGTCTCTGAAAGTTTGTTGTAATAAGATTTTATTACCTATAGTAAAAAAAACTGAATAGGGTTTATGAAGAGGATTTATAATTCATTTATATTATATATTTTGTGACATTCAGAACTTCTCTACTATGATGACTTCACCGCCTTTGAACTTCAAACCACACAAAGTAGAACAAATTATCATTTCAGAAACTCAAACTGTGTCAAAGTTTCTTGTCTGGATCCAGCCAACAATAAGTGAGTGAATCATATAGAAAAATTAGCAGACATTTGATTCAAGAATATTTTCAAAATCACAGGAAGTGGTCTGATATCCTGCAATCTCCATGGAATCCTGCTGTGGATACAAAACAGAAAGGCTGGAACTTTACAAAACCTGAAGCTGTCAAACTCAATGTGTTGATATGGCTTTTTGACTCAGTATCTCACAATAACTTCAAAAGAAGTTTGCCAAAAAGTTGGAGATACATCAGAAGTGCAATGAATGGGACTAGATTCCTTGGGTACAACTTAGTTGGCCACAACACTGCCCCAAACATGATGCCATTTCATACAGGTTGGGACAAAACTTTCATATTTTTTCCCTTCCAAGTACAGTCCACCCCCACAAAGTGAAATTGACTTTTTCTAGACTGATTCATTGTGTGAAAAGTGTGTTGTGCAAATTCAATTATTAGCAAATCAAAATTTTTTCCTTTCACCATTAGTTTTAAACACACAGAAATCTTTCTGAGAGCTCAACTGTGTCTTTCACTCCACAGGAATTCCTTTTCCAAGATGGCAAGAGAAGAGCAAAAAGAGGTACATTGAGGACACTGAATCTGGCTCTTCAACATTGTTGCACACCTTTAGAAAATATGGGTACATTACTGGGTATTTTGAAGAAAACCAAATGTGGCCAGACTCAGGCACATTTCAGTTTTGGTATGACTTGGGTGGATTCAGAAACCAGCTTGCAGATGTGTACAGCCGAACGTTCATGATCACCTGTAATAACTTCACTTCGCAGACATGGAGAACATGTTTACAGAACATGACTATGAACCAAGTATGTGCACTTTTTCATAAAATGCAGTCAATTCAGTGATTGATTGAAAAGATGGCAACCCAGCAAAGAATGGGGGCGTTGGGCTGGGGACCGTTTTGACATTGGCATTGGCAACGCTGTTGCAGCACCATTGTCTCAATGGGGCTGATTGCTGCCAACGCCCTTTGCTTTATTGACCTTGAGTGAATGCAATGACAAGGCGTTGGCAATGGCATTCTCCCAACGTTGTGAGAAAAGGCGTTTTGGAATTGGTGTTGCCAACGCGTTGTCAATGCATATTCAAAACGTAATTTAGAAAATTGGGGTGAGGCCATTGTTATTGACATTGCAGAACCCCTTTACAATGCGTTGACAATGGCAAGCCAATTCCAGTGGCATTGGTGAATGCCTTGAGAATAATGGGTTGACAATAAATGGGGCAAGTGATAATAGACAAACATATATTATTTGAAAGGCATTATTGTAATGTTTTCAATATTTTTGACTAATAATTTCATCAGTGGCATTGGTGAATGCATTGAGAATAATGGGTTGACAATAAATGGGGCAAGTGATAATAGACAAACATATATTATTTGAAAGGCATTATTGTAATGTTTTCAATATTTTTGACTAATAATTTCAAAATATTTCTAAAATTATAAAGCCTAGAATGAATAGATGTGAAATGTTCACAAGATCATCACAGTTGAACATGATGTTCACAGTGTTATGCAATCAAGCATTGCAGTTCTCTCTGCTGTTTCAGCTTTGAAGAATTGTTATAAACTATTACAAAATATTGCAATGCGTAAAATTTCCCCCAAACTTTGAAGATCTGTAACAAGTTTGCTAATTAAGATAGGAGGGTGTTCAAAAAAAGCAAAATGTTCCCCAAAATGAGGGCAATCCAAATTTTTCCTTGTATTGAACGATCATTGTGCGACGAACGCGCGATCATCATGCGATGTTCAAATTGAAGATTGAATGATGATCAAGTGTACGTCGCATGATGATCGCACGTTCGTCGCGCAATGATCGTTCAATACAAGGATAAATTTGGATTGCCCTCATTTTGGGGAACATTTTGGTTTTTTTGAACACCCTCCTATCTTAATTAGCAAACTTTTTACAAATCTTTAAAGTTTTAGGTAATTTTTATAATGGATTTATTTTTTAACAGTATATAACAATTCTTTGGAGCAAAATCCAGCTGCAAGAATAAATTTGGTTCTGAATTTGTTACAGTAAATTAACATTGAACATTGCTGAAGTTTTTCATTCATCAGCAGAATACTTTTTACAAAAAAATATTGCTACAATTATTACATCAATACAGAAGAAGCTGTGATTTTTTTGGATTGAAATGGAGGTGAGGATCATATAGAATTTAAATTCATGAACTCATGTTTTACCACACAAATATTCCAGCTTATGATTTTCTGAATGAATATGGAAATACCTCATTTAGTATAAGTAGCATACCTATTCACATTGGATCTAGCTTGTGAGTGCATAGCTAGATGTGAAGGTGACTGACTCTCACTCAGATGGCCCCAGTTCGAAACCCAGGAGCATCATCAGGACAGCAGATTCAAAGCAAGGGAGATGAAGCAGCAGGAAGGAATATTGTGAACAGAAAGCACACATATGGAGTAAAGAAGAAAGAGGAAAGAGTATAACACAAAAGGCAATATGAAGAAGTAAATAGCAGCAAGGGAATGGGGAATTTATTTTTAATTTTTTTAGGGCTGTCAGACGTTGGGACAATACCATTGGCATCACCTTGGGAATGCGTTTGCCAATGGCAATTGAATGGTGGGCAATATTGCCCTTTTTTATTGCCTCTCAGGCTCAACGGTTTCAGCCCTGTTGGCAATGGGTTCCAATCCTGTTTCAAAATGCCCCCTGGCAATGTTAGGGGACAGGGCATTGAATAAAGACCAAGATGACATTTTCACAACGGTCTTGCCCTAATGGCATGAGAATGCCCTCTCAATGCATTTTGCAACGTCCAAATTATTTGCTGGGCAGCCATGCACCCTGGATTTTTTTTTCCATTGCAGACAAGGATTTTCTGGATAATTTCCAGAACTGCCACCCAATGGTGGAAAAATAAATTTCCTGGCATTGAAAATTTTCCTAAATTAAAAATTTATAACCTAAAAATTTTGAAAATAAATTTCCCGGCATTAAAATTTCTGTGTTCTGAGACAATTGTCTCAGAAGAACACAGAAATTTCCTTTCTGTTGAATAGCTTTGTTATAATTGGGGACCTCAGAGCTGAACACTTTCAAATTAGGGGGTTTATAAGAAATTTTTCCACCCCTGGGTGGCAGTTCTGGAAATTATTCACAAAATCCCTGTCTGTGCTGGAAAAATATTCCAGGGTGCATGGCTGATGGATAAAACCAGAGCCACGTAAATTCTGCTCTCTTTCTCCCAGGTCAGGAAAAATATTTGAAAAAAAAACCCATCCACTCCTTTTTTTTCTTTGCATCTGGGCTGGTGTTAGAACACCAGGTTTCTGTGAAAGAGATTGGCTTGGGAGAAATAAAAAATGCCTTCAGAATTCAATCCAGAGTCCTTCAAAAATGGATCCAAAGTCCCTCCAAAACACAACCAAATTCCCTTCAAAACAGATCCAGATTTCCTCCAAAATTAGTCCAAAGTCTCTTCAAATTGAATTCAAAGTTCCTCCAAATTTAATCCAATGTGTCTCCAAAATGATCCCAAGTCCCTCCAAAATTGCTCCAAATCTGATCCAAAATTTTGTCTAAACCTGTAGTCCACTGCAGTCCAACTTAGGCAAAAACCTGTGGACTGCTTTTGGAAGGATTTTGGATCAGAATTGGATCCATTGTGGAGGATTTTTGGATGTAACCAGACAATGTCTTGCTCACTCCATACCCCAGTTTGTCCAGCAATTGGAAAGAACCCAAACCCATCACGGTGGAAGAGTTATATTTTGCTTCCAGAACTTCACCCAAATAAGCCAGCCCATCACTTGATGAACATACATTTCACAACAAACTTGGAATATAAGCTCTTCCTACCTTAGTGCATTCCAACTGTCCTTTCAATCTTCCTATCCACCATTGCTAAGAGAAACGTCATGTATCCTGAATCCTCATAAAAATTGTAATGATCCTTGGAAGAATTGAAATAATTGTTCGAGGAATTAAAGCCATCCCTGAGAAAATTGAAACTTTTCCGTACAAGAAAAACCCCTGCTGCGTCCAGAGACACCCAGGAACCAGCCAGAAGATTCCCCTTTGTAGTGCGGAGGGGAGTGATGTGGGGTGGGTACCACCAGCTCTAGGGAGAGAAAAGGACAGCATCACATGTGCATTTATGCCTAGGCTCTGGTTGGGAAGGAGGGGATACCCCTACAGCAGAAGGAAAGCAGGAAGCGCAAGCAGGAGGGACAGGAAAAGAAAAGAGAGGAAAAATGAAAGCCAGGTTTGGCTGGTCTATGAGCCGTATCCGTTGTGCTTGGCGGACCATAAAGAGGAGCTAGGGATAGAGTGAGAGTCATCAGTCCCATGTAATTTTGCCCCAAAATGACCTATTAAAAAGAGATTGATATATTTCTTGGTGAGGTCTCCTGCGGACCTAACCACCCTCACTCCTCAAACTTCCCCTACTTTGACAATCACTTCAACTCTATTGCCGAATCAGGGTTCAAAAATGCTGAATTTAGATGACAATATTTCGTATGTGGAAGGTACTGTCCACATTTTTCACCCTGGAGAATACAACTGCTTGAAAAATGGCACATCCGTCTGCCCTGCTGTGGAGCGACTGGAAGGAAAACATACTCCAGGGACGAAAACTGAATAGAAACCTCAGAATTGCTTCATGTTGCTCCTGAATAGATTGTTCTTATTGAGGTAATCCTTGAAAAATGCGACTGCAGTGCAGGTACACGCATACACACAAACCAAATTCAAGATTTCCATTTTTATTTGAAGGAATATACATTGAGTTAACCCATTACCTGCCGTGAGCCCAATTTGGGACTCACGTGGCTTTTGACCCTTCAAAAAATACCATCACTTCAAAAATTATGCATAAAAATGTGGAGGCTCTGCAGTGAAGTTATCCACAATTCAAGACCTCATTTGCTTCTGTTCATTCATTTTTAAATTTACTGCAATATGTTTTCTGAAGCCAATTTTCAAATTCAGTTGAAAAGTAAAAAATTGATTTTTGGAATGCAAGAAAAGTACTTTCTAGTGCAGATAAATGCAAAATTTTGTATTTCCCTGTAGCCTGGTTATTTTTCAATGCTTTGGCATATTTTATTTAATTTTCTGACATTTTTATCGATCACAATAAGTTCAAGAACCTTGATCCCCAAATGGGGCTCATGGCAGTTGGGGTGTATAGAAATATTTTTGGAATTTTATTGAAAATGTTTCCAAAAAGTTCCAAATTTTGAATAAACCTAACTGCTGGGTTGAGCACACAAAAGTGATGATGAAAAAATGTTGAACAAAATTTCTTTGATTTTAAATTAATTTTTTTCAATTTTTTCTGTATGTGTAATAAATATAATTTTTGTGATAAAATTTTTTGAAGATACCCATAAGCTTTTGAACTTCATGTAACAGTTTTAAAATGCTAGCAAATTACTTGGTGTACAGCCTGGATGCTATTTGATGAATTTTGTAGCTTTTACAAAAAAAATAAATTTTGAAATATTTGTAAAATCATAAAAAATATTTATGAATTTCATTCCTAATGGCATTCTGGCATCACAAACGGATCAGAAGATGTCTTTTCACTCACTTTGAGCATAAGATAATACAATTTAGCCAAAAAAATGAAAATGAAAATTTTTTCCAATTTTTAAAAGATTTTTTTCATCAGTATAAAAGAAGATGGGACCTGCCATGAGCCCCATTTGGGGATCAAACTTAATATTTGAATATTTGACAAAATTTTGAATTTACAAATTTGAAAAAAAATTCCTCAGCTTATCTACATGTAAATGAAGTGAAATGGCACAAAAATGGGGATGCAGGAAATTTGGCAGTTAATGGGTTAAGATGTACAGTGCACCCAAAGTATAGCTATATCTGGGTAAAATAGGCTCTGTTGGGGACTATGGTCAATCAAAAAGAAAAAAAATAACAGGTAGACTGAAACACAATCATGAGGTCAGATCAGGCTGAGAGTCTCTTGCTGGAGTGTCTCCAAAAAAGGTTGGGCTTCATTGAGGTACCAACAGGGATTCCAGAACCCTGTAAATTTCCAAAGAAACATTCACACACCAATGACAATCCAAAAAGATATTTTCATACACTTAGCTGTGCCTGTGTCTCTTGTATGTGTTTATGTGTCTGTGTGCCTGTGTGTCTCTGGGCCATGCAGGGCACAGATCCAGTCGGTATTTGGGATCCCTCAGACAACATGGACTTCCAATGGATCTCATGAAAATATCCTCAATCATAGATTCTCTTGAGCCACAAAAGGTAAATTGTTTTCAATTAGTTTTGGGGTTGATTTGCTTCTTTCTATATTTACGAGGATGTCTTTGCCAACAAAGGCGCATCCCTTGAAGAGGTCTTGGGATTCAAATTTTTAACTCATGACAGAATTCAGGCCTTATTGATTCTCTCCAGAACTATTACGAAAATTTTATTTTTTGAATTCTTTTGTATTGAAGAGCTCCATGGTTTGCAATGGGATAATATTAATGGGGAGCCTCTGCCACAGATTTAGAAAGTATGCTTTGGGTTCAAGTGCAATCATCATGACTGCAAATACAGATTAATGTTCAACGTAAGATATGACAGGACATCTTCTTTATGATCATAGGGTACGTGGGAAATGCACTTGAACAATGCACCACCGAACGGTATGACACCGATACGCCCCCACTGAGGAGTCAGAAGGCAGACGTTTTGAATAGAATACATTTGTATGCATTTTCAACTAGGCCGATTTCTCATTCGCCCCTTGTTTTACTAATCCAGGGTATCACTGGGAGTTTTCTCTTCATGGATAAGTTACAATCTTACATAAAAAGCTGATAAAATCATCTGTCCCCTCACGTACCCTGAGTGTCCTGATCGTCCAAGTGTTTGTATATCCCAGAATATTTCTTCTGGCTCTGGTCTTCAGGAATTGGATTAAGTACAGTACAATGGCGTTGAAGTCAAGGTGTGTTTGCGAGGAAGCGTTGTGGACAAAGTTATCATGTTCAAAAAAAGTGGATGGACTTTAATAACACACACATATGCGGACTGAAGGGAATGTTTTCACAAAATAAGATCAAAATGTCACATAACAGGGAATCCTTCATGAGCCGGCATTATCTTCCATTTCAACTTGGTGGGTGCAAAGCTTTTAGTTTCCTGTGAGGACACACGCTCTTCGCAATCATCCAGGTACTCTCCGATGCAAGCAGAAAATTGTGTCAAGTGTCCCAAATATGGAAGATGATGCACTCCATTAAGCAAGTGTCCCCATGGACCTGGAAACACAAAATAACTGAACCTCCTACTCCGCATTGATGGTGTAAGTAATTACAGGTAGGGCTCATGCAATAACCAGTTTTTGGAATGGATGGTTTTGAATGCCGGACATTTGCAGGTATTCCTTTATCAGCACATTTCGACGCAGAAAAGTCATTATCATTCGAAATCATTGTGGGATATCTTCATTATGAATTAAATATGTCCAGCTGCAAACGGGAAGTGGCAAATTCATGGGACTCTTACTGACCCACAACATATCGAAGGATGAAAGATAGAAAATTGCAAAATGAACGCATATTCGGCTTCGAATAAACGCTGTCTTTGGTTTTTGAGTGGTTTGACAACACTGCAATACATGTACTTGCATGGAAAGCTTTGCCTCTTTTTCTTGCAAAAGAGGAAGTGATTTTTTATTTTTTCCTGCATATGTAAGTTGAAATCACGTTCAGAACATAGCCACCATTCATGTAGATGACCTGACATCCCATCGAGTTGAGATAAAAATTCGGGATAAGTCCAGATCAGGGAAATCTCCCCTTACTCCTAGCTTAGGCTCAAGGGATGAATCTGGAAGGTTTTCGAAGCTTTACCAATTGCATAAGCCGGAATATCTTCGCCACCGTGTGTTTCTTTCCCTGACGGCATGTAAATTCCGGAGTGTTGCATGAAATTTATATCTTGCGTGTCCACGTTGGTCAAGTTCTTCCACTGTATATGTGTCCCGTTGTTCTGGTAGTGGTACGAAGCTCCATTCATGAACATCAAGGTAGTGTACGGTAATTCATACTCATCCTGCACCTCAGCGATCCCTATAAATAAGGCAAGCAAATGTCAATGCAGTAACTGAAACCGTCCAGCTCTTGGATGACACACCGTCAAATGATACCGAGCATCATGTAGACTGAGGGTAACAATTCATGAAAACATTTCCCATATCATGTCTCAATGATGGAAAAATTTGAAATCTTTCTGGCTAGTTAAGAAACCTATTTTTTGGCTCTGATCCATTGACCAGAAGTCTGGCAAAGTCAAAAGTGGTAGCAGAGCATGGGTACATGTCAATGGAAAAAAAATTCAGTTCATAAAATTTTCTGTTCCCAACAGGTGGTCTTTCACATACCATTTCCATCAAGACCGTTCAAATAAATTGCTGATCTTCGTGCGTTATGAAAACTCTGGATGTAGAAGATGTCTTTAAAAAATCTGCCAATATATTGAAACGACCTAGAACTTTCTCTGACAAAGAAAACCAGAAAAAAGAGAAAACACCAAAATGAAATTTTGAAAAGTGTCGGAAAGTGAAAAAGTGCAAAAACAAAATCAACAAAAGGATCCCTGTCACATCCAACGGATACCTGAGTAAGAGAACGACAAATCCTCCTCAGATTTTATGCTACAAAAAGGTTTCCTCTTCCAATCAAATGAGCAAAAACAATTTAAATTCCTTTTCGACGTCAAAAATGCAAAGAGGATGCACAAAACGCTCTGTTTTAGCAAGAAGGGTTTTCACTAGAAGTACAAGTCTTTCAAGAGAATCTGCAAGAGTGACTCCAAAAAATGCAAGGTACAAATCCCTTCCCAATCTCCTCCTCTAGACTCTCCCAAACTCAAAATCCACTGGGAGAAAGAACTCCTGAATTATATTTAATTGTCAGGACTACATCAGAGAGGGCCACAAAGCAATAAGAAAAATTATAGAAAACAAAACAAAACTTTTTGGAGAAATTCTTGACAAAGTTTCACTATTCATTGCATTTTTTTACCTGCTCAACTTTGATCTCATCCCTCTGAAGAAAATATTGAACAATCAGAATTACTGAAAAAATAAATTACCAACCTAGCCACTCAAACTGTTGAAGGTCCAAACTAAACTGGAACTCCCTTAGAGTCCCGTAGACCAAAGTATCAAAAAACCCTCTCTGTTTATATTCCTCCTATGCCAACTTTTCCTTCTTCTGTACTAGATACGGATTGATTTGTACAGTAGACATCTTAAAAACTCTCCAGGGGGAGGGGGTGGCAGAGAACAAAAAACATACGATTCCAAAAAATCAATCAACTTTAAATTTAATCCCCCTAGAGGCAGAAGTCCAACACAGTTCACATGTTGCCTCTTAGAGTTTTACATTCCTTGGACTGAGAGGTATTTTGCAAAAATGTGTTCTTGGAGGATTCAAGTTCCAAGTCCATATAACTTTTTGCCTTAGTTCTGCCCATTTGTTTAAAACAATGTCCTGAACATGAGATTCTACTTCAACAGGATTTTTTGGTCATTCATCAGTTTTGGTGAGGCCCCCTTCTTGAAGGGCACATGAAGGTATGACGCTTTCTTTTACAAGTTATGCATCTCCTTTTATTAAGACATTCACATATACACCATAACCATATCTTACACAGTTGTAACAGTCTTTTTAATCTGATGATCTGATTTTCATCCTAGTGAGGGTTTTACAAAACAATGGGGTGTGTCCCTAGTTGAAAAACACACACTTCCAATCTCTTTTTTTTCAAAGGACTTACCATTCTTAGGAGCCAACTTGGGTGAATCTGAGTACTCAGGAAGATTAGATTACTCAGGGTTCGGAGGATGACATCAACAAAACCTGGGACTAGTGAAGGAGAGGAGTCAACTCACATCAACATCATGTCTGTTCCAGGGATGATACCTAATCCCATCCTGTCAACAGTATGCACTGTGGCTTTTATTATCCCAATTGTGGTCCAAAAGGTGATGGAGGTTTCTGTTATCCTACAAAATACTCAACACTTTGTTTCAAGTTTTTTTTACAGTTATCTCCTTCTTTAAAATATAAGAATATGGGAACAAAACTTACCCATGTATATACTTTCTCCCTGTTTTGGTTTGACAACTTTTGGGCTATCCTGCATTAATGGGTGTTACCCACTTCTCCTGCAACTACACATTACTGTTCCTTTCCCTGTTGACAGTAACAGATGGTGATGACTGTTCCCTTAATTTTGATTTTTCTTCTCAAATTATATTCTGCACTACAGTAGTTCCTGAGACTAACATCCTGGCCCCAAGACCTGGATAAACATCCCTAACTCTGGAACTATTTCATGATCTCAATATCAGAAAGCCTATATATACTTCTGCTTTCATATTATTTCCTCATAAGAATCTTCTAAGACAATCAAACCTGAGACTCTTTTGATTGTTCTCAAGAAGCCTTGCAATAATTTAGCAAGACTTCTTTTACTTATAATGCCTTGAATGTATTGTGCATTTGAACATGTGTGTGATTTGAAGTACAAAAGAATATATTCATATGTATATATTTTGTATTTATCAAGTGTTTAATATATTTATTGACATGATCAACAATATTTGCACAACTAGTTAAGATAACAAAAATTGGGGCAGTTGGTAGTTGTCCAGAAGGAGGTTGGGTTGCTGGATTCCCTAGTGGATGCAACTCAGATGAATATCACTATCATAGACAAGGATGGCAACATTATACATGCAGCGGTGCCACCTTTTCTGGTTAAAATTATTGCTTGGTTTGTTGGGACTTTAAGCAATATTGCTCTTGCCATAACTGGGTTGATGTGTTGTCAGCATCAAATGAAGGTGTGTAGGGAAAATAACTTTGTTAACCTTGAAACCTTTCAAATTATTCTTTCAATGGCTTTGCCTTACTAATTGCATAGAATCAGAAAGGAAGGGTAGTGGCAAAAAAATGTAATTCTTCTGAGATGGAAAAAAGGCATGGTGATGCATCAGGCACAACAGCCATCACCAATCTTTCCTTGGTGGAAGCATTGGAAATGGCTGATATGTCTAAATGCTCTGCTACCATGAGGCCAGTAACAAGGAATTTCACCAGAAAGCTCTCTTTTCTGCATGCATTGGACTTGAAATGCACTCCTTCCAAGAATTTTGAGAACTCTCCCAATGTAGATCTACTGCACAAGAGTTCTCAGTCACACAAATTAGCCTCAAACTCATACTTATCATGCTGCATTCCATCAACTATGTATGATTCACTTTCTCTCAAGTTTTCAGCATGCATTTTTTCAGAAATGTCAAGAGAAGTCATGCCATTGATCCATGTCCCAACTTTCTGTGTAATTAACTGTCCAGCTGTTCAAAAAAATTGAAGATTTTAAATAGCACTGCAACCACTCTACTTTTAGTCCTTCAAATTCTCCTTCAAAGACTTTTTTCTTTTTTTCTTCATTTTCAAATTTTTGGCAGAATTTAAAGTAAATGTAACTTTTTGCTTATGCAAAAAATAACATTTACATTAAATTCTGCCAAAAATTCGAAAATGGATATGAATCCAATTAGAAAAAGTCTCAGAAAGAGAACTTCAAGGCCAAAAGAACTAAGAAGTTGCAACAGTGATCTATGTTGAACTGGCGCAATGTAGATCTATGTTGCAATGTACATTTGCTTGTCCGGATGTGGATCTATGTTGGGATGCGAGGTAGATCTACATAGCGACTTTTTTTTTATTTTAGCCCTTGAAGTTCTCCAAGACTTTTTCAAATTGATTTTAACTTCATTTTGTAATTTGTGGCTGAATTTAAAGTAAATAACTTTTTACTGGTGCAAAAAAGTTACATATACAGTGGTACCTTGCACTACAAACGTAATCAGTTCCGGAGCTACATTCATGGTATGAAATGTTTGTACTGCAAATCATGATTTCCTGTAGACTTCTATGGGAAATCATTTAATTTGTTCCCAAATTTCTGAAAAATTCAAAAAAATCTCAAAAAAATTCCAAAAATGTCTGTTTCCATCAAAGCCTATTTAGCAATCATTGAACATTACCCTACATGTAATAAATTGAACCTATGATCCAAACTAATTTGAAAAATATGAAGACAAAAATTATTTTTGAAAATGGGCTTCAAACTCAGTTTTCTTTTTATGTGTGCATTGCAAGTTGAAATCTCTTCAAGCATTGTTCATAAGGGGGTTTTGCAGAATAGTTTTGAAATTAGACTTTAATTTGCATTTTAGGGAGAGTAGATTGAAGGTTTCAAAATGTTGTTTCAAGGTGTCTCTGCTCAGAGCAAAAATTCTTTGAAAATTCATTTTGCTTTGAGCATAGCCCCTGCAATTCAAATTGTGATCAAGAGGTGTAAAACACAAATCCACAGATTTAAATCATCAATGCGCAAAATTTTAAACATGGCCTCTATCGGGGGGTTATGCTCAAAGCAGAATTTTGCTGAAAATGTGTCTGCTTTGAACATAACCCTCTTAGAAACAATAATTTTTTAAAAAATCTACTTGGTTATGCTCATTTGAAAGCCATCTTTTACCCTGCAATGCTCACTTTCTGAAAAAATTACTTGAACATCAGTTTTGAAAATTTGGGGGAAACCAAATGAAACTCCAATTTCAAAGACATTATTCATCTCAATATTTTCAGGAAGTGAGGATTTCAGGCTTTAAATGATTCTAATGCAGTTAGGATCACAGCAAAAAAATCTTTGAAAAGTGGGGGTTGCTTCGAGCATAACCACTTAGATTTTTTAAAAACATTCACTGTTTCTAAGAGGGTTATGCTTAGAGCAACCCCCACTTCCAAAGATTTATTGCTGTGATCATAACTGCCTAAGAATAATTTTTAAAGCCTCCAATTCACACTTCATAAAAATATTGAGATGCAAATTGTCTTTGAAATTAGAGTTCCACTTGGATTTTTCCCAAAAATGTTCAGAAATGTTGTTTTAAGTCAATTAAATTTATCAGAAAGTGTGCATTTCAGAGTCAAGAATGGCTTCCAAAGAGTTCATGCTAAAAAGTCTCCAAAATAGGTTTTCCTTTTGATCTCTTAGAGATTGTGACCCGCTGGTTTGAAACATTTCTTATGTGGACTCATACAATCCTCACATGAAAATGTCGTCAACAATCAGCTTTGATATGAGAATAACCTTTTTTGAATCAATGTGGATTGATACTTCAGATCTGCTGATTAAGATGTGGATTGATGGTTTAAAACATTGCTCCCAAGGGGTTATCATCAAAGCAAAAATTATTTGAAATGTGTCTGCTTTGAGCATAACCACATCAAATTTTTCAATTGTATCTGAGAGGTTAATATTCAAAGCTGACACATTTTCAAAGAACTTTTAGCTTACATCTTAACCCCCTTAAACAAAATGTGAACCAAATTGTGGATTTATGTTTTAAACCTGTGACTGTGTTTTAAACCTCTGAATTAGAATTTGAATTGCAGGGATTTCTCAATAAAAAATTTTCAAAGAACTTTTTGCTTTGAGGATAACCCCATTATTGAAACAAATATTTTTTAAACCTGCAATCTACTCTCTCTAAAAATTTAAATCAAGACCTAATTATAAAACTGTTAATTTTTTGTAGAAGAGCCCCCTTAGATGCAGTGCTTCCATGAATTTCAACCTGGTAAAGAAAATAGTCCTCAAAAAGTGGTACAGTATTTATTTGGATGTTTTGATATAATTTTTGGGATTGCTAATTTAAAAAGAATTTCTATGTTAAATAATATAAATAAAGTATCTTCTCAATTGAATATAATTATTGTTTATGATTTTTTCTGATTTTTCCATTTTTTAAAGCTTTTATAGAAAAACTTAAAAATTTTCGAATTTCCAAATTTTTCAGATTTTTCGTGGGGTAAAAAAACATTGGCACTACAAATTTTGTTTTTTCTACGGGTGTGAAAATAAATGGATTTTCCCCAAAACAAAAAAATTTGTGGAACATTTGTTTTGCAAGAAGTTTGTTCTGCAAGGTACCATCCAAGCAAAAAATTTGGTCATTATGCGCTTGAGTTTGCGCATTGAAGATGGACTTATAAATGTCTGGAGGGGACGTCTACCCAGACGGCCACTCAGACCATAAAAAACAGACATTATACCCATCTGAAAAAACGGGCATAAGATTCCCACTTCTCCTGACGGTTTTCCTGATGGTCTGGGCCCCTCCCTGTATTCCTGCAAAGACTCCCATTTTTTTGATGCTGTTCCCTAGGCCCCCCCCCCCATATTCCTGCCAAGATTGCCGTTTTTGTGATGCTGTTCCCTACAGCATCACAGAAACAATTTCAAAAAAATGTTTTGGCTGCTATGCAGCCCTGAGTTTACAATGCCAGTACACTGTACTAGGATTGTGAATGCAGGGTGCATAGCAGCATGTTAACAAACACACACACACACACACACACACACAAGTGCACTCAAAGGAAAAACATGAATAAACAAGCAACCTGCTGGGGATTTGAACAGCAAACCTACAACTCAGTGCCCACATCCACAAAAAATTGCGCCAAACATACAGCAGTGATTTGCCAGAGCAGAGTGTAACCCAGAACTGATTTCCTTCTTTATTCTTTTCCTCTCCTTATTTGGGTTGAAATCTCTTTTACAAGGTTTTTGGTTCCTTGCAGCTGTTCCCTCTTGTTTTGGTTCCCCTCCTTTGCGTCAGCCCGCATTAATGCATGATACTCGTTTATGTATGTTTCCTCAATAGAATCGGCTATTTGTCAACAGTGACATATTACCTTCCTCTCTCTGAAGAACTTGCCAATTTAGGAAGAACCCTCTTGTTGAAGGAGCAAGTGTATTTATTAAATATATTTGTATACATATATACCTGGATGTATATATATTCATTAGTGTTCAAGGAACCCGCAGTTCCTCAATCTAGGCAAATATCTTGCCTATATACTGTGTCTTGTCAGAAGGCATATATATACCTTCCTTACTGTATATTTTCTCAGAATTAATCTAGAGCAGATTGCAGTTTGTAGTCATATTAACGACCACAACACCCTTCACTTTACGCGCGACCCTTTTAAGCTAATGTATTTCCGCTATGCTTGGCTGCGCCTGGTGCGCTAGCAATTATATTTTCACAATCTTCCAAAGTCCCTCCAAAACAAATCCAAATTTGCTCCAAAAGTATCCCAAGTCCCTCTGAAACTGCTCCAAAACCCCTCCAAAATGGGATCCAAATCTGATCCAAAATTTCTCAAAAATGTATAGTCCGCTGCAGTCCGACTTAGGCAAAAAACTTTGGACTGCTTTTGGAGGATTTTTGGATCGGAATTGGACCCATTTTGGAGGGGTTTTGGATATATCCGGACAACTTTTTGCTCACTGGGGAGGCAAAAAGTGTTTCTAGAGAGATTTGATTGCTGAATTACGAATCAATAATTTTAAGTTTCTCACCAACAAATTGTGTACAAAATTTGTTAATGAAATCTTTTACCTGGTCCAAAGAAAAGTAAATTTGAAAACACCAGTCGTCACTAGGAAAGGGATCCCCCACGCAAAAGTGAGAGTGTCGAAAGTGACTACGTGAGCCAAGTGCGTTAGACAACCAGACCCTGCAAAACACCATGTCGTTGCCTGTCCCCAAGGTAGATGAACTCCCCAGTGTCCACAGGGCAAGAATTGCAAATGAATCCCCTGAGGCTGTGGTCGGATATTTGACTGAGTTAGTGAGATTGCTTCAAGCTGAGAATGTCCAGGTTAGAGCACTAAGAGATGCCAAACCTAGACCCTCTGCCGAGATCAGAGCAACATTAACAAGAGAAATTCAGTTACGAGGCGATCAGCTTAAAAGTTACAACTTGATAATAGAGTCTCTCACTCCCAATTTAGCTGTGCTCAACAAAAGTACGTTAGCTATCAAGACCACTCAATTGTCGTTATTTGCAGCCCATTTAAAAGATGAGACCGAAAGGTGAAAGGCCGAGGTTGGACAAGCTTTGGGCATTAAAACCCAGCTACAATCGAGAGAGCTTACTTTAAATCAACTTGATGATCCAACCAAGGACAAGGTAGTCTTTTTCAATATGAAGACCTTGCGCGATTCCAGTGCTTACAAAGGTGACAAAAACATTGCAAATAATATACTGGCAAACATCCCTATGTCTTTGGGAGCCGAAGGCACTTGGGTAGACTGGTGGAATGAGGTCCGCCTAGCTCTAGCTGATTGCGAGGTGACCAATGCGCATATGCGTTCAGTAATACGCCAGAGAGTCACTGGAAAAGCAAAAGAGTTTTTAAACAACGCGACCCCAGGGTTGCTGGACCAACCTTATCTTACGATAGTAAGAGCTCTTGAGAAGGCATACGGTGGTGATTTGATGGGTTTGGGCGTGTTAAAACTGCAAAAAATCTCGCAAGGTGACCTAGAGAACATCCTCGATTATTTGGTACGCATTAAGAAAATTGGACTAGAAATGTTGGGCAAAGGCCCCAGTAAGATCAAGGTTTTACGAGTTGAAAACTCTGAGCCTAAAATAGTCGCTAACCCTATGTTAGCTGAAGAAACTTTGCGACACAAATGTCGCATGGCTCAAATAGATGAGATCATGCTGAGTCACTTTATGGCAGGCTTGCAACCTGATTTGATAAAGAGATTCAGCATCGTTCCCGTAATGTTAGAGCAGGCGATAGAGGCCGCCACTAATGTTGAGAAATTTAGAAAATTCCAACAGACGGCCGAGTCTTGAAGAGTTTTTCCTACTTCAGCTGTAACCACTAGCGTTAGTCAAGTAGTGCGTACGTGTTATAACTGAGGAAAACCAGGTCACTATGCGACAGAATGTAGGGCACGTGGCAAAGTTCGGATAGGAAACAGTGCGAGTGGCTACCAAGGAGAGCAAAAGGCTTTACCTCCCCCGCAAGGGAGAAGACTGATGCTCTCTTTGCCAGTGGACAGTGGGCTTTGGTGTGTGACTAGGGGATCCCGAGACAGTAGATCCCCAAGTCGCAGCAAAAGTCCCGACTCCCGATTGTCGAGCCCCGGCCAAGCAAGAGGCCAGGGAAAAGGCCAACAAGGCAAGGGACGCAAGGGAGCTAGATCTCCCTCCAGCAGTCACTCAGTGCGCACAGATAGAAGTATCCGTGTATACTTCACATCCAAGGAGCAGCTAGATGGCCTGCAAATCAAAGGGATCGAGGAAGTCACAGGCAATGAGTTGGGAAACGACTGTTGACCGGACCTTCCACATCCCCAAAGCTTCCTGTTGTCCTACTCTCCACATCGGTAACTGCTGTCCCTGTCAAGTTCCTCATTGACACAGGATCCGAGGTATCGTTGATTTCACCTTTATTTGTAACTAGTGATTCTGTTACGCGCACCCCTGGTTTGACGCTGTCAACCATAGAAGATCGGAAAATACCCGCTCGGGGATCTTTAGACACGATCTTGTGGTTTAAGGACTTACTCCTTGCCAAGGCAACTCTATTAATTACCAAGATAGCAGACAGGGCATTTGACGGTATTTTAGGGCATGATGTGCTTAAAGCTGAAAATGCCGGAATTAATTTTGGGAAGAAGTGCCTTATCATGTCCAAAGTCTGTATCCCTTTCTTCTCGGAAAGAGATAAAGGCTTTCACCTCCAAAAGGAAGTGTATAAAATAACAGGACAGAAAGAAGCATCTTTCCGAGTGTACCCGGTCGACACTTGCACTATACCAAAGAATTCTCAGTCTGTCCTCTGGGTGAGACCTAGCAAGGATATAGGCGGCGTTCTTGAAGACGAATCCATCTTAGTTGATAACTTCCAGAATGGGGGAATTATCGTCGCAAAAAGTCTTTCAAAAGTGCAAAAAGAGAAAATCAGGATTTTATGCCTGAACGTCACCAATCGAGATGTACAAGTTACCCCGCGAATGACAGTTGGCATAGGATCCATCAAGGGTATCGCGATGGCCACCCGAGTGATGACGCAGCAAACAAAGAAAGTTTTCTCTACAACCAAAAGATCAGCAGCAAATGAGGCCAAGAACAAGATACATGGGAAACTAGAAAAAGAAAATCTAGAACAGCTAATCGACGAGAATTTAAACTCATCCGAATGTCCATCAGAATACGTAGAAATAGTCCGGAAGATGCTGCTAAAATATCGAAACGTGCTGGCAAAGAAATCTGACCAGCTCGGACTATGTCCCATGTACAAGGCAGACATACCTCTCGACACAGATTCTCCAATTTATACCCGACAGTACCCTATCCCGTACTAGATGAGGTCATTGTTAGGAGAATACGTTGAGGATCTCCTTGACAACGAAATAGTACAACCCTCCACTTCTCCATATAACAGCCCGACCTTAATGGTCAAGAAGAAGGATGGAGGATGGAGGATGGTAGTCAATTTCCGTAAGCTCAACGAGCACGTGATAACTGACCCACATCCTCTACCGCAAATTAGTCAGATTTTTGAGGAATTAGGATCGGCAAAGTTTTTCTCTGCCCTCGATTTATTGCACGGATTTTACAATATTAAGATTAGAGAAGACGAGAGAGGGAAAGCCGCTTTTTCCACTCCCATGGGCCATTACGAGTTTGTAAGGTTACCCATGGGCTTGAAAAATATTCCTAGTATTTTCCAGCGTTTAATGCATCTTGTGTTGGATGGTTGTTTAGGATCATATGCGTACATTTATGTGGACAACATAGTGATCTACTCCAAAACAGCCAAACAACACGTAGCCCATCTGGAAGATATCCTCTGTAGATTAAACAAATCCGGCTTAAAAATAAAGTTTTTGAAGTCTCAACTGTTTAAGACACAGATTGAATATCTTGGATTTTTAATTAGTAACGAGGGTATTAAAGTAAATCCCGTTAAAACAGATGCCGTCCGAAATTTCCCTACGCCGAAGAATATCAAAGGCGTACAAGCTTTTCTAGGCTTGGTAGGTTATTTTAGATCTTATATTAAGGATTTTGCAACAAAAGCGAGACCCTTATATAACCTGCTAAAAAAGGACACGGAGTTCAGTTGGGGAAAAGAGCAGGAAGAAGCAAAGAAATGCTTAACGCAATGTCTTTTAGACGCCCCGATCCTGTCCTTCCCAGATTGTGACAAAGAATTCATACTAACAACCGATGCGTCAGGACATGCAATCGGCGCGATCGTGACTCAGAAGAAGGACAAGAAAGAAGTCCTCATAGGATACGCATCAAGAACTCTGAATGGAGCCGAGTCAAG